TGAGCTAGGAGTTATGATCATTTGAAAATGACAAAAACTCAACTTTTCTTGCTTACAATTTTCCAGATTTCCCTTGAACTTTCCAAAACGAAAATTTCCAGATTTAAACTACATTCTAATTATTTCTAGATGAGGGATGTTACACTGTAAGATAAAGGCTTTGAGGTCGGACAATGGTGGCGAATACACTTCAAATGAGTTCAATAAGTATTGTGAAGATATGGGAATTGATCACAAGTTGACAATAAGCTATTTGCCAGAACAAAATGGAGTCTCCGAGAGGAAGAACAGAACAGTAGTTGAAATGGCCAGATGTTTGTTGCTGGAAAAGTAACTGCCACAAAGTTTTTGGGCAGAAGCTATTCATACTTCAGTGTATTTGTTAAACAGGCTTCCAACAAAAGCTGTGGATGAAAAGACTCATATTGAGGCATGGAGTGGAATACAACCATCTGCCAAGCATCTAAAAGTTTTTGGTTCGATATGTTATTCTCATGTTCCTTCTGTCAAAAGAAGCAAACTTCAACCAAAAGGTGAATTGGGGATCTTTATTGGTTATTCATCACAAGCCAAGGGTTATAGAGTTTTCAACTTGCAAACAAAAAGTATTTCAATCCGAAGAGATATAGTCGTGGATGAGCATGCTTATTGGAACTGGAATAAGGAGAAAATTGAGAAAGATAATGCAGTTTTTCAGAACTTGAGTCCGTTGCCTGAAATCCAATCATTTGGGTCTGAAACTCTGGAAGAAGACGAAGAATCAGACGAGGAATCCTCACTTGATTCGCAAATTTTGAAGAGAAGGTCCCTTTTCGAGATATATGAAAGATGTAATGTTGTAATCTCGGAACCAAATATCTATCAAGAAGCATCAAGACATGAAGTTTGAATTGAAGCTATGAGGAGGAGACTGGTATGATAGAAAAGAATGATACTTGGAAGTTGGTTGACAAACCCAAAAACAGAAATGTGATCGGGGTGAAGTGGGTTTATAAAACCAAACTTAATCCAGATAACTCAGTTTATAAATACAAAACAAGGCTTGTTGTGAAAGGTTACGCGCAAGTTGCAGGTCTGGATTATGGAGACACGTATGCACCTGTTGCACGACATGAAACAATAAGACTGCTATTTGCTTTGACAGCTCAGTCAAATTGGAAGCTGCATCATCTGGATGTGAAATCGGCGTTCTTAAATGGACTGTTGCGGGAGGAGATCTATGTTGATCTACCAGAAGGCTTTCAAGTTGCAGGAATGGAGGATAAAGTCTACCAACTTCATAAGGCATTGTATAGATTAAAGCAGGCTCCTCGAGCATAGTACAGTAAGATTGATGATCATCTCATTCATTATGGCTTCAAGATAAGTCAAAATGAAGCCACGTTATATGTGAAGAAGGCTAAATGAGGAGATGTGTTTGTGGTGTCACTCTATGTTGATGATCTTCTGGTAACAGGAAGCAATAAAGCTATGGTGAATCAATTCATGCAAGAAATGGAGACCAAGTTTGAAATGTCAGATTTGGGTGAAATGAGTTACTTTCTGGGAATGGAGATTCATCAAGCTACTATTGGAATCTTTATTTCTGAGAGAAAATATTCATGGGATATTCTTAAAAGGTTCAAGATGGAGAGGTGCAAGTCTGTACCGACCCTACTGGTTTCACAATGAAAGATTTCGAAGTTTGAAGGAGGTGACAGGGCAGATCCAACAGTTTATAAGAAGTCTGATTGGTAGTTTGTTGTATTTGACAGCAATAAGACCCGATCTCATGTTCGCGGCAAGTCTACTGTCGAGGTTTATGCAAGCTCCAAGTCAAGTTCATCTTGATGTTGCTAAACGAACGTTGAGATATATCAAAGGAACTGTTGATTATGGTATTTAGTTTAAAAGGGAAGAGCAAGGGCAACTGATGGGTTATTCAGATAGTGATTGGGCAGGAAGCGTTAATGATATGAAAAGTACTTCTAGATATGATTTTACACTTGGTTCAGGCATGTTCTCATGGAATTCAAAGAAGCAAGAGGTGGTAGCTCAATCTTCTGCAGAAGCAGAATACATCGCCGTTGTTAGTGCAACTAATCAGGCTCTATGGTTAAGAAAGATTCTACGTGATCTGGAGCAAAATTACATTGAAGCTACTGCCATTAAGGTTGACAACAAGTCAGCAATATATATGGCCAAAAATCCAGTGCAACATGGTCGTAGCAAGCATATCAATGTGAAGTTTCACGCTATCAGGCAAGCAGAGAAGGATGGCGAAGTTCAACCTGTTCATTGCAGCTCAGATTAGCAGATTGCAGACATCATGACCAAGGCTCTTCCTAAGGGGAAATTTGAAGTTCTAAGGGCTAAGTTGGGAGTATCCAAGAAAAATCTCAAGGAGGAGTGTTAGAAAATGAGATATTTCCAGATGTTTTTTGTTTAATTGTTCTGTTTTTAAAAAATATTATGTTAAGTATGTAAAGGAAAGGTAGTTCTTGTTTTATGGAATATGTTTTGTAAGAAAGTCAATAGTGGTTGGATATGTATGGTCATCTACTTCCTTTGGAAAAGCTTATGTAGATATATGTATGTATGCCTTTTGAAATTTGAATATGAATGAAAATTACCTCAGCTGAGCCTTATCTTTTTGTCTAAAGTTTCAAATCCTAACATATTTATGGGTGGTGATGGAAGAATCTAGCTAGCTAAGGGTTTTGATACTATATTCTAGAATGTTTTTCTAACTTCCTATTTCTAGAACTACCTTTTCTAGAACATCTCTGCTGAACCTTTATCTTTTTCTCAAAAGTTTCAAATCCTAACAGAAATGAAGATCTAAAGCTGGGCTTATATAAATTCAAGTTTTGACACTCGCTCCAGCTTCTCCAAGATCGGCAAATTTCTATACCAATGTGTAAATGTCTCAATGAGTGAGATCGTTCTTCATGTCTCCCACATCTCTCTGCTTCCGCTGATGTAGTATTCAAGAAACGCTGAAAGTTGAAATGCTATACTCTTGGGTTTGTAGAGGTGTTAGTGGATGGATCAATGTACACATTTATGAAAGTTCTACTGGCTCAGCTCATCCCATTTATCTTCTTAGGATGTATACATAATTGCAATGGTTGTGCTTGTGTGGCGAGTTGAGCCGTCATGTGAAAAAAAGTTTATTTTTATTTCTTCTTATGAACGAGCTGTTATGCCATTTGAGCTGTTAAGTCTTTGTATTTTTGTGGTCAGGAGCATGAGAGTTGTGAAAGTACTTGACCCTTTCAAGTTTGCCAATATCTGCTTTGTTTGAATTATTTTACATTATGTTTGGATTTACAAAATTCTATTTTTTACTAGTATATTTAGAAAACAACTAAATATGTCAGTTGATATCCGTACAAGGAGGAAGATGCCAACCAACAATTTCACATCCTTCAAACTTTCTTTAGGAAAAAAAGGACAAGAAAGAATGTGGTCACAATAACGCAGGTTCAATCACTCTTTTAGGCTTGGGGCATCCCTCATCCCTCCTAAGTCAATGGAGGTCACCAATTTAGGACATGAAACCTCATCATCCCTGGAAAACTAACAGGAATATTTAAGTTAACCAGAGTTTTTTCTTAAACCCAGCAAATTAGAGAAGACAAAAAGACATGTTTTTATCATTTCTACTGACTTGTTTAGATTACCTGGTAATAGAAGAAAAGAAAGGAGTAAGTGATATTCTTTTTCTTTCTTAAGTTATTTTAGGACTCCTTAGATTACAATCTAAAGAGTATCTGACTATCTAACCATAAATTAGTTTAGAAGACAAAGAACTTGTTAGTTGCATTGCAGAAATTGTTCAACTCTAGGATGTTTACGTATACTGGTATCAATCAAAATATTGATATCCGGAGATTAGATCTGAAGTTTGATTTATTTAACATCTTGATGAATGTTGTTGTTATCCTATAGTCAGTTACTTTTGCTACTAAAACAAGTGCCTGCAAGCTGCCTTTCTGTCCAAACCTAATGAGGGTGTTATCTACAAACTTCAGCAGGGGATGAGATCTGTGCAATTATTGCATCAGAAAGCAATTGCGCACTCCATCAAAATGATCATATCTACTACATACTAATATTCTACGGCGCATTCTTTGCTGGAGAGACTGGAAGTTGGATAGCTGCAATTGAGTTCCCTTTTTGCTTCCAGTTGCACATCAGCAGCATCTGGATAATTTGCAGTAATGATAAGGACCTTGAAATCTTTGTCTCCAGATGAATCTAGCAGATGGAAATAAGCAAAAAGAAAAGAGTAGGCATGCTAGTGACATATTGGCAATTGCTTATAGCATTATGATTTGAGGCTGAAGCTGTTCTGAACATCTTCATCCAGCATGAAACTAAAATAAAGACATTAAAGTTGAAACTTATTGAGAAGATGGTCTTATGCTTTACATGGTGCTAACATTAATGCTTCATCTTCTTCTTCATCATAACGTGTTCTATATAGCAATGACCGATCTTGAGAAGAAATCAGAGACTGCTAAATTTGCCATGGATTAGAAGCAATACTAATCATATGTCATAATACGCTAGATATGTAACTACATATATACACCATATAGAAGATACATATTAACAGCTTAAACAGAGATATATAGTTGAAATGTTCTTGGTACTTTTCAGTAAAACATTTACCTTTCCTATACAAAAAGAAAAGGGGGGGGGGGAATAGCTGAGATACATATGGAAGGCAAAACCTGAAGTTACTGCCCAGATGATTAAGTTATCATAGCCTTTAGAATTTCGAAAGGAGTCCCAAACAATTGGGACTTGGGAGAAAGAAACTACTAGAGCAGGGCATTTGAACCTTCTTCTAACCGAAAATTGGGAACTTTGCAATGATGAAGAGAAACTGAGTAATTATTCAAACTCTTTTTCCCGCTCATTGGGTTTGGGTGGTGGAATCAATTCCCATTTGCTGGAGAATGACAAATTTTAAACAGTCCAGATAAAAGAAAAAGATGTTTGCATGCAGTACCAAAAGGATGGAGAATGACCAAATGAATACAAGTTCCTGTCTTTCTCCAATGACAGGGATTTATGTATAATTTAGAGGTAAGAGAACAGGATCGGAAAAGGTACCTCACTTCATATTGGAAATCCAAATCCGGGGTAGTATAATTGTTGATGATAAGTCTCAGGCAATTGTTGCATGGCATCCCATTGTTGTACAACATCATAAACGACTTGCTCAATAGGATCTGTTTGTGATTCACGTAGCAATTCCATTTGCTGAAGAGAATTATCTGGCTGATATAACATTGGATACTGTTCAAGATGTTCATATTTCTTTTCCATGGCAGGTGCGGTTTTCATGGAAGACTCGTGATGAATGTTAGACCAAGGGTAAAAATATATTGCAGGAGGGTAATAATGAACAAGTTTTTCTTCTCTTATATTCTTGAAATTACTGCAAGTAAAATAAAGATCCAATGGATGAAAAGTTGGAATTTCTGGATTAACATGGATACACGGGGTCTGAGAAGAGATCTGATGGGGATATGGTTTTCGGTGAGTTGCAGAGCTCGAAACTTTCCGACCAGGTAGAAAGGATTTCTCATAACAATGAGCAACTTCTGGGTGTCCAGTACTGTCAGAAGTGAAATTAGGCTTCAATCTATCAGTTCTACCAACAAAAGTTACCTCTGAGCAATGGTTTGAGAGGGACAAAAGATGGTCAACAGAAATCAAACTGTCCTCATCAGGCAAATTGATTTCATCATCCACAAAATCTAAATCAATAGAAGTGTCCACATTAGGGATTTTGGGATCTTTTGGCTCTTCCTGATAATTGAGCAAAATCAATTCATCTTCATCCGGTATATGTAGTGGAACTTCAGATTCAGTTATGTTAACTGTATCAGCTGAGTAACTGTCCCTAGATTCTTGCTCCAAATGAATAACATCCAATATTTCAGTCCAAAAATCATCAAAAGGAGATTCACTCTCCTCGATCTCATCCAACTCAAGCTCACAATCAAAGATAGAATCTGCGATGCCTTCACCATCTGTCCCAAAAGCTCCACAATCGCTGAGAACTGATGCTAAGAAGAATTCATTGGGCTGTAATTCGTTGGTTTTAGATATCCTCTCATACAAATTTTTCTGTGAAGGAAAGAATGCTTCTCCTAAGAGCAACTCATTGCTGATTTCAGTTTCAAAATCTTCCTTGGACTCCCAATTCAGTTTAAGATTTTCATGGCTTTCTGCTGCTAAAATGTTGGCTGTATGAATACCATTCTCCATTCTACCAGTACATGGCCCCTTCAAGCATCTTGTTTCAATGCCAGGAAAGTCAGTATGTTGCAGTGATACTTCCTTCTGCAAAGAAGATGAAAAAGGACAAACTTGCATCACTATGATTGCAGTCATGAGTTAGATGTATCATGCGTATCTGACTGAATAAAAATGGACTCTACAGCCACATTTCATTTGTTTTCTCAACCTTCCTACCCCTCCCTCGTTGACTTAACGAAATGTTATCTAACTGTCAAAGCAAACTATAGAATGTGATACTTGCAAGGAAGATAAACTTTTAAATCTAGGAAATATCCTTGACACCACTTACAAGACAAAGCTGATAGTTTATCACAAACCTACTAAGAAAAGGAGGGAAAAGGGGATAACAAAACGAATATTGGGACTTAAGTATCTCTTAGTAGTCAACATCTAAGCATGTCCAGAACTTACCTCTAGTGTCTCTCCAAATTGTCTTGTTTCAAATTCTTCCAGATTAATAATCGCAATTGATGCTTTAGCTTCAGAATCAAGAAGTTGTTCTTGCTGAGTAGTAATGGCACCATTAATAGAACCAGGTGTTTTGCAATGTGACTTCTCCTCATCCACAAACTTGTTGACAGGTTTTTGGGCTTCAGATAAGTTTGCAATCTGCTTGCTCCAATGAGTACTTTTATCCCCAACTACATCATCTTGAAAAGTATCATTTTTTGATTGTACATCCTCTTGAGAAGTACAGGCCGTGTTAGTCAGAGACTTTGTTCCTTTAGATGAATGGCTAGCATATGAATTGGAACCGCCAACCTGCATAATAACCAGTCTTAATCTATAAAAGTTAAATGCTCTTCACGGAACACGTGCAAAAAGATCAAGCTTATGTAGGCCACATTACAAGTGAGTTATTCTTTTGCTCAAGAGACGTACTAGAACATTATAGCGTTACAGGAGCCATAATCACGACCAATTTTGAGTGCATAATGACCAGACCTTGTAATACTGTGGTGGACGATAAGGGTTCTTGCTCTTACTAAGAAATGATCCCAAAATCCCAGAATAATCATTCTGCGCCCTGGAATCTGCATTACACATATTATCAGAACAGGGCTATGAGCACTACTTTCTTATCTACGTATTAGTTATAAATAGTGAACCATCTGTGACTGAGCCTTTGAAATGTATGCAACATCAACACGTAGAAAAATAAAGTGTGCTATTGAAGCATTGATTTAGCCAAGTGAAATTGATCCAGCAGAACATAGAATGCTATTACAATTCTTTCCTGTACATAAAAACTGTCTGTTTCTTGAAACAAGCTTGATGATACAGTTCAAGTGCTCTGTGAATAAAAATTTTACACTTTGGCCTGTTCCTTACATGGTTCACCAAGTGAAAATGTGATATCAAGGATTGAGTTTAATTGATCATAAAGAAAAAGAACTAATTCGATGCATCGCACCAACTATACCTGAATCACAGCATCCCTGTGAAACTTGTTTTTCCCATCTCCCACAGCATAATTGAGAATCGGCAACCAAATCACATCTAAGAACAGGTGATGAGCCAATGTAATAATTGTTTGAAGTATATGGGGGTAGGATTGCAGATGTTTGTTGCATTCCCAGCTTACACTCAGATAAACCATCAAGTTCGCTGTTTCAAAAGCAATTATAAGAACGCAGAACCACCACGTCACGAGAAACAAATAAGAAATTTTTTAACCTATCAGTGTCATGCGTCTACCAGTCAACCTTGGCTTTGAATATTATATTTCTGTTTTCATTTCATTTTCTTCTTTTTTTTCTATGGTAGGCAACTGAGTTATTATCAGCTAATAAATGTAAGACAACAACGACATCAAAATTCTAATCTGTACATGGAAATACACAGATTAAGTTCATGGTGGCCAAACAATTAAATTCAAGTGAAATTTCTTCTTTTATCAGCAATAATTGGCAGTTCAGCACTTCTTCTCGCAGCTAAATCATGATGAACTATAAAGCAACCAATAATGCAATCTCAAAAGCAGAGACCTAAGCAAACAACGAAAAGTTGTGAATTATCACTCACCGTAAAATGGATGGATCAAAATCTTTGGGAAAGTCTTCACAAATTTGCAGGTTAGACAATGATAACATGAATGTTTTAGTGTACGTAAGCCTTGAACATCTGCATATAAAGCATGATGAGATAAAGCAATTAATAATGCAATGTCAAAAACAGAGACCTAATCAAGCAACTGAAAGTTATGATTTATCACTAATAATTACCGTAAAGCTGATGGATCAAAATCTTTGGGTAAGTCTTTACAAATTTGCAGGTTAGACAATGATAACATGAATTCCTTAGTGTACGTAAGCCTTGAATCTCTGCACATAAAGCATGATGAATTGATGATATAAAGCAATCAATAATGTATTGTCAAAAATAAAGACCTAATCAAGCAACTGAAAGCTGCTACTTATCCCTCACCGTAAAGCTGATGGATCAAAATCTTCGGGCAAGTCTTTACAAATATGCAGGTTAGACAATGATAACATGAATGCTTTAGTGTAAGTAAGCCTCGAATCACTGCAGCACAAGAATTAAAACAGAAATTCATGTCAATAGTTGCTAATCGATTAACCGCTCGCATATGTAGCTAGTTTCCGTTAAATAAACGCAATAACTCAAAAAAGTACTAATGTCACTTTAAGATCTCTGCAGTGGTTCTGGTTTCCTCCGATTCCAACTGCTCTTCCGAGCTGCATTCTTCAATTTCCACACTCATTCCAAAGTCACAGGACAAATTTTCACAGTCCGTACAAGTTTCTGCAAGCTTATGTAGTTCCCTCATATAACTTTCCACTACGTACATCTTCCGAGCGTCAAATTCACACTCGCAACCAAAATCAACTCTTTGTTTGAGATAACAAGCTTTTGTATCGTCAATGTTGATGTATATGTTCTGTAAAACCCTAGCTACCACACCTGTGCAGAACGAGGAAACTAGAAAACTCGATTTCCAAAGTCCAAACGGAACTCCATGGAAATGCGCAGAGACGATTACTTGTTTACATTCTTTTGCAGTGATGAAGATGAGAGAGCTTTACAAATGGCTGGAAAACGTGAACTTTTTTCATACTAAAAGTGGAAAGAAGATTGTAGAGCAAGAAATAAAAGCATGACCCCCTGAGAGTAGCAGAGGTGAGAGGTATTTGTCTTTATAGTAACAGACTAACCAGAGGTACTTTTGCTTCTCCACCAACGTAGGTTTAGGTGGGGTTAGAACAGTCTTTACACTTGGGCATATTTTGAACAACATTTATTTTATTTTAGAAAATTTTCAAAAACTTTCCGATAATTAATTTCATTTTCAGTATACAGTCTCAGAACTGTTTCCTATGGCAGAATAGAGTTCTATTGTGTTGTGTTAATGAAAACTTTTCTTTAAAAAGTTCGGAAAACAGACGCAAGGCAGAAAAGCACTGTGTAATAGTTTTTTAAAATAGAAGCAAGGTTACAGGTTGTTGCAATTATTTCTTGCCACACTCGATTGAAAAAAAAAAAAAAAATAACAAAAAAGAACAAGAAAAGAGACCCCGAGAAGATGATCTCCTGTCATATAACACCTATCATAATGTCAAAAATACTTCTCTTTTTTTCTTTAATGAAAATGAATCTTCACTTTTCTTTTCTCTTAGTTTAAAGGATTAGTGGTTCAATTTTTGGTATTTACGACTTTTCTGGAAAATGTTAGAACTCACAATGATTTCCTTTTTAACGATTATATAACACCATTAACATATGGTGAGAATAGCCAATTGTGTTATTTGTTGTACATGGTTTTTTAAATATATTTTTTCATAAGCGGTACTATTTCATACATTCATCTCTTTCAATGCTTTTATCATTTAAATCGGTAGAGTAAAATAAAATGGATGAAATAATTTCTGTAAGTTACATGATAATCTTGGAATTCAAAATTACGTTTATTATTTTTTTGAGAAGTTTTGACCAAAATAAGCTATTTTAAAAACCAATTCACCAAATTAATACGCTTTTTAAATTTTTTACAAAAGTAGTATAAACGTACTTCATGGTAACGTTTTAGGTTATTTTTATTTTAAAAAATTCAACGGACAAAAACTGACGGAGTTGACGACGTTAAATGAATAAACGCTATTGTGAGTAACGTTTTAGGTGTAAAACGTTACTCACGATAACGTTTATTGAGAATCCAATCACTTCAACCCTGCAAATGCATAATCAAATCGTGCAAATTTAGCTATAAAACGTTACTCATAGTAACGTTTTACCTCAAAAATGTGACTGTCAGTTACAACACTCTGTTAAAGTCATATTCCTCCATTTTTTAAACTGACCACATGTGATTATAAAATAAATGTTGTTGTAAGGAATGTTTTGCATATTCCAACAATATTCAACAAAACTTTTACTTGTGTTGCCCATTGTTAAAATAATATTCACAAAACTTCATCAGGTATGAATTAAATAAGTCAAGTTTATCATATTATTAAGAGATTTTTTTAAAATAATATTAATAAATTAGAAAATAATTTTAAAGCTATAGTAAGAACTTAACATAATATGAGTAACATTTTATAGCTAAATTTGCAGGATTTATTCTAAATTTGCAGGAGTCGAAGACCCGTGATTGGATTCTTAGTAAAATAGTAACGTTATACACCTAAAACGTTACTGTGAATAACGTTTTAAATTTGCAGGATTTGATTATGCATTTGCAGGGTTGACGTGATTGAATTCTAAATAAACGTTATTGTGAGTAACGTTTTACACCTAAAACGTTATTCATAGTAACGTTTATTCATTTAACGTCATCAGCTCCGTCAGTTTTTGTCCGTTGAATTTTTAAAATAAAAATAACCTAAAATGTTACCATGAAGTATGTTTATACTACTTTTGTAAAAAAAGCGTATTAGTTTGGTGAATTGGTTGTTAAAATAACTTATCTTGGTCAATGTTTTTTTTGATTCAACAATATAAATATATATCATTTATTACACAGCTGATATACACCCCTTTTCACTCAAATGCCTCTGTATTTGGTCCCTTTGGGCAATCATTTTATGCTACAAAGATAGATAAGAGGCGGAATCAGCTTAGAAGAATCCATACTATGTCACGATTGATTGCAGGAACTTTCCCCTCTACCCAACTCACCAACTAATACAATTTCTTAATCCAACGTTATGTTCCTCTAGAATTTTTTGAAGACTAACAGGTTGGATTATATATACTGTAAAAGAGTAGAATCGAATGAGAAAAGGGAAAATCAATGTGATCAAAATAGAACTTCATAACATTTCAGAAAACGGATGGACATATTCTCTTAACACTTGGACAGGACACAAAAACACAGTTACTTACACAACAGACTCAACTGACCCATCCGAACCACTAGCCAAAAAGAAACCATACACACAAGATAAGAAAAATGGAACACACTCAAATTGTATTTTCACGCATCTCAAAAGTCTCAACTGATTTCAATGATTAGTCCACTTCTTCCATCTTGCTTTCCTCACCAATTTCCTCCAGTGCAGGCATGTCGGCATCTTCACCAGCTCCTTCTTCTTCCTCTTCTATGCTAAGACCCAACTTCAACATCCTGTGAATTCTTGCGGCAAAGGTATTAGGGTCATCAAGGCTAAAACCAGATGTTAGTAGAGCTGTCTCAAAGAGCAACAACACGAGATCCTTCACTGATTTGTCATTTTGGTCTGCCTCAGCTCTCTTCCTCAATTCCTCCATGATTCCATTATCAGGATTAATTTCCATTGTCTTCTTGCTGGACATGTATGAACTCATGCTGGTATCCCTCAATGCCTGAGCCTTCATGATCCTTTCCATGTTGGCTGTCCAACCGTATTCACCAGTCACCAAGCAACATGGAGAATCAACAATCCTATCAGAAACAACCACCTTCTCAACCTTGTCACCAAGAATGTCTTTAATTATCTTGCAGAGATTCTCAAAAGACTTCTTCTTCTCCTCCTTTTTCTTCTTCTCTTCTTCACTGTCATCATCGAGCTTCAATCCCTCCTTGGTGGCAGAGACCAGTTTCTTACCATCATATTCTTTCAGCTGCCCCACGGCGTATTCATCAATAGCATCAACCATATAGAGCACTTCATATCCTTTTTTCTTGAGACGCTCCAAGAACGGAGAGTTCTCAACTGCCTTCTTGCTCTCTCCAGTAATATAGTAGATGTCTTTCTGGCCCTCCTTCATCCTAGTAACATAATCCTTCAGGCTGGTCAGCTCATCACCACTCTTGGTAGAGTGGTAACGGAGGAGGTCAGCCAACTTGGCTCGGTTCTGGCTGTCTTCGTGAATGCCCAACTTCAAGTTCTTTGAGAATGCCTCATAGAACTTGTTATAGTCCTCCTTGTTCTCAGCAATCTCATTGAACATCTCAATACATTTCTTCACCAGGTTCTTCCTAATCACCTTGAGAATCTTGTTCTGTTGCAGCATCTCACGAGAGATGTTGAGAGGTAAATCATCGGAGTCCACAACACCTTTCACAAACCCAAGGTACTCAGGCATAAGTTCCTCACAGTTATCCATAATGAACACCCTCCTGACATAGAGCTTGATGTTGTTCATCTTTTTCCGGCTGTCAAAAAGATCAAATGGAGCTCTCTTGGGCACAAAGAGGATCGCCTTGAACTCAAGCTGCCCCTCAACAGAGAAGTGTTTTACAGCAAGGTGATCCTCCCAGTCATTGGTCAAGCTCTTGTAGAAGGAGGCATACTCCTCCTTTGTAATCTCCTCCGGTTTGCGCAACCAGATAGGTTTCTGCTTGTTAATGAGCTGCCACTCGTAAGAAACCTCCTTAATCTTCTTCTTCTTGCCTTTCTCCTTCTCTTTGTCCTCATCAACCTCCTCAACCGCACCCTCCTCGTCTTTCTTGGGCTCATCATCTTCATCATCACTGATTTCTTTCTCAGTAGTCTTCTCTGTCCAGAGGTAAATAGGGTAGCTAATGAATTCAGAGTGCTTCTTTACGAGGTCCTTGATTCTCCTTTCTTCCAAGTACTCCAGCTGCATAGTATTAACCCAAAATTAATAACTATCATCTCTCAATTAGGCCTAATGAAATTATGTACAACCATGCAGGAAATACAGATGCTTACCTGGTCCTCCTTGAGGAAGAGAGTTATTTTAGTTCCTCTGCCCAATTGCTCTCCATTGACATCCCTCGTAACAGTGAATGAACCACCGGCTTGTGATTCCCAGACATACTGCTCATCATCGTTGTGTTTGGTGGTCACAATAACCTTCTCTGCTACAAGGTAAGCAGAATAGAAACCAACACCAAATTGACCGATCATGCTCACATCAGCACCAGCCTGCAAGGCTTCCATAAATTCCTTGGTGCCGGACCTTGCAATCGTACCCAGATTGTTGACCAGATCTATTCGGAACCACAAACAGAAAAGACATCAGTACCATTCTACCAACTAAATCTGAAGAATCTTAAGACCAAAAACACCTCCCCCTAAATATATTCACCATTGGTGTCTGAAGAATCTTAAGACCAAAAACACCTCC